CAGTATAGTACAGTACAGTGTCAGTATACTACAGTACTTTATATTATAGTACAGTATAGTACAGTACAATGTCAGTATAAATCTGCTGAAGCAGATAAAGAGCACAACGTTTTTCATTAATTTGAGACACATGGAGTTAAATCATTTACAAAGTATAAAAGTTAGGATAACTAAAAGTCTTGAATGATCTGAAAGATAAAAGCTGATCCTCTGCTGAACCAGTTTGAGTCCAGTTTGAGTGTTTTTACTACTACGCACCACTTGGTAAAGTGAAGTGACCAGAACTCCCAGCGTAGCGAACACGGTCCCCAGCAGGTTGAAGCGAACATCATAGCAGGAGTTCAGGACCACTCCTATTGTGATGGGCACCTGCCAACAAAACACAAACACCTGAAAATACCATCCACACACAACGTGATGGGCACCTGCCAACAAAACACAAACACCTGAAGGAACCATCCACACACAACGTGATGGGCACCTGCCAACAAAACACAAACACCTGAAAATACCATCCACACACAACGTGATGGGCACCTGCCAACAAAACACAAACACCTGAAGGAAGCATCCACACACAACACTCTGCCTGTTCCTGTGGAGCGCTCCTCACCAGCGTCAGTTTGATCTTGGTGGAGAAGGTCTTCTTGTAGTAGGTGGTCTGGATGAGGATGATGACGGGCGTGGTCATGGCTTTGGCCAGCTGGTACGTCCCGATCGAGTTGTTCTGCAGGGACAGGTTGGTGAACGCCACGAACCCGCAGAAGCTGAGCGCCAGCCACATGATCCTGCGCACCGGCAGCCGCTTCGGGGAGAAAATGTGCATTTTTTGGCAAACGTAGAGTCCCAGCCAGGTGACCACAAAGTGGACCAGGGTCAGGGTCATGTTGGGGAAGCCGTAGTGGACGTAGATCCATTTGTTGATGAAGACGATGCAGATGGAGGACAGCAGGTTGACCAGCAGGCCCGCCACGATGCGCCTGTTGGCTGAAAAACTCATGGCTCCGGATGTTTCTTCAGAAAAACTTTAACAAACTGCAAACAGAAACCAGAAGGAATTATACATCAGTCAAGAGTTAGAATGAGGATGACTCTCAGCTACTACCACCTCAAATAAGAGTTTAATATTAAAAAAACTGAGTTAGAGACACTGGTTATTTCTTTCTGTAGAATTTGTATTTGTCTTAACACTTAAAAAAAACACAGTTTCCTGACAAACTAGTTTAAATAAACTGATCTGGTGCTTGTTTTGTGAGATTTTGTATCTTTGTACAAAAC